ACCTCTGGTTTCTAAAATACAGTTTTCTTCCTGTCAGTGTAGGTAGTGCCCTGTATGTGTGTAACAAAGCCTTTTCTGGTTGTAGGAGGCAGCCGCTGCATTACTTTACAAACCTATAGCAGAGGTAGGTTATTTTAAACTTTTGATGGTGTAAGAACCCACTGCTGGTGATTGTGCCGATAGATACGCATTTTACGATTAACCGCATAGCTTTTGTTGCAGAACTTTCTGCCTAACGCTAACAATTGTGTCCTCTTGGTACATTAACTAAAGGCCTCGAGAGACCTGTGCGTGTCGCCTTCTTCTTCTTTGATCCGGTTTTTTCACCGCCAAGTCTGGGAGATCTGTCCGTCGTCTCTAATGATCGGTCAGACTTCCATCGTTTACCGCAACTCCTTCTGGGAATCTTGTCTTGGACTGGTGAAGCTGAAAAGGTCGGTCAGCTCAGCAAAAATTGCATGTTAGAATTAGTGGGTTTCTGATGCCTGGGTAACAAATCTTTCGTGCGTTTTGGATTTGCTCATTAAGTTGTGGTTGGTTTATTCTATAGTCTAGCAGATACTTGTGTTGTTTATCTGGTAAGGTCTTCACTACCTCATACCCGGCCAATTTAATGCAACGTATTCACCTCACTTAGAACTACCCCTTTTTCTTCAAAGCGGACCGCCGGTAGATTCCCATAACCATTTAGTACGCAAACCCCGCGGACCGTAAAGCGCGGCATCATAGATACTACGCTTCCGTCTATAAGAACTCGTCAATTTCTGTAGCCCGCCGCTTCGACACAATTTATAACCAGAGAGAAGGAGGAGTTATAATTTTGCTTAGTTTTACCATAGCATACGACCGAAGGCGGCGTTGACTAGTGCCGTTACCAAATGACCGTACTGGTCTGTCAGTGACGCCATCTCAGGAACAAATTAGATGAGTAGAACGTAGTGTATGCAACACCAACCGAATACCTCTTGACAGTACGTGCTTCTTGAACGCACATATTATGTCTATTTTCCGCCTGAGAGCGCCGTCTCTGCTGGATCCTCACCATGCATGTTTTTAGTCATAAACTGTTTCCGAGGGTTGCGACAGTCCATTGGAGATCACATAACTTGGTGTGTCATTCGTTATGTTTCGTTGCTGGTAAATTACTTCGAGAAGCACCTCTATTGTAGGCGGCAGATGCGTTCAGTCAGGAATTCCAGCATTCTTCATTGCTTATCAACGATCGACCAGGCTTCCTGATGGCGTTCATTCTCTCCACTCGTTGTAACTGACCTACATTTATCGGAGGCGACACGCTACATATTTGTAGAATAGCTCAATGATGCTGCATCTTCATAGACCATGAGGATCTATAATCTGCTATCCTCTGCCGATTGTCATTTAGTATGCCCTCTGAATTCTTTTTAAGCAACCCATTCTCCACCTTGTTTAAATATTATTAGCGAAAGGACACAAAACTCAGTAACTTCGAATAAATCAGAGCAGGTAATCGGTGGAACTGTGGTGTTCGCTCTGCAGTAGTAGGTGTGAGTCAGTCGCAACTTAATTGCGTTGCGTTATTTGGCATGACCAACAGCAGTGGGTTCCGGGCGGATGATGGTAAATTAAGTGACAACCTAGTATGCACACGGTAAGGCCGTCTTCCTGAACAACTACATAGTCGTTTTTTGGGGATGCGTTTGGAGTGATAAAGTGAAATAGTGAGGCACAAACACTCTCGATCGAGGGCTTAAACTTGGTTTGCATCTTTTGTGTGCATGGGCCATGTTCCACATCGGCATAGACTGGTCGCTTTTACTTAGGTCCTGCATATTCCCAGTTTGATCTTGGGATTGAGCTCTCGTGACCATAGGCTTTCACGAAAGCTGAGCGTGCTCAATTTATCCGATGGTCGATTCGATCTTTGACTTGTCCGTTTGACATCATGCATCGTAATGTACAGTTTATGGCTCTCTCTGATGCTAGGTTCG